TGGTTCCCAATAACAAAATCCAGACAAGATTATCCCCATCCAAAGAATGGAAGAGTCAAATCAGCTTGTCTTCTCAAACTGAACTAAAAAAATTTCACTTTTTTCACGCCAGCAAAGTATCTATGCATAAATTTTCATTTCCCCGATCAATTATTGAAATATTAATATCTGATAATGGAATGCAGATTTCTCAATGTAAGACATAGCAGATAAAATTTTGAAATACATGTGTTTAAATGTAATTCTCCGTATATGATTAATTCAAAACACACAGACACAAGGGCACATTTATCTGAAAAGTGAAATTTTGATCTGTAGAGTGGTGCTTTAAATACATCCTTGTTTCAGACTTTCCGATTTGGAATTCTAGACAACCGATTTGAGAATTCGTTACTGATAAAAAAAACTTAAGATTGTGTTTCGTAGCTGGATAATTGAAACAGCGAGTTACTTTTTCTTAGAGAGAAAAAACTAGATTGGTTAAGGTGATTCAGTGAAGACTGAGATGGAGGAACATACCGTACAAATTGAAATTCCTGGGCGTGGATGAACAGCAAATTGTCCAGCTGAACCCAGAGCCAAAATGTAGGAATTTTGGATGGAAGAACAGAGCCGAAATGGAACTTTCCTGCAAAAACAGACCAGAGAAATCATCAAAAAAAGGTCACCGATCCAAAAACATCATGCAATTACATAATTCACCAGCTCGAATCTCATCCTGAGCTAGAAGATAACTCATGAATTCAGCAGCATTGTACGGAGACAGGGAGGAAGAAGAGGAGAAGATTACACAGATCGAAATACAGATTCGCCATGAGCTCTGGATCCACACCCGGAGGTGCGGATAAGGAAGAAGCAGAATTTCCTGGGGAGAAGTGTGAATTGAGGTGAGAATAGGGTTTTTTGAGCACTTTTGACTGAATGAATGACTGTGGGGTTTTTTATGATTCAGATGCAAACGAACATGCAATACACTGATACAGTGTATGTAACTAGCTATGTTCGGTAAATTCTTTAATTAATTGAGGAAAAGGTAAATTAATTGAGCACTTTGACCAAGGATTTAGGTCATGCTTTCTCTATTTCATTTACGGAGTAATTGATTTTGATCGGATTAAAATAAATTTTGATATGGTCTGATCTGATTTAAATATATTTATATTTTTAGTTATTCATTATCTGGTTTAATCTGATCTGAATGAGTAATAAGTAAAAATAATACGGAGTAATTTGGAGAGAACGTGACCTTAACTATATATGTTTTGTATAGTTCCATTTGTCAGAAATGCAAGGAAGACGCAAAATTGTTAAAGGCAAGAAATGTCACGAGGACTCAAATTCAATTTCTGACAAATGAAATTATACTAAAAAAAGGGCTTCTGCAAATATCTAATGCACTCCACCCTTTGATATCAATTTACAATGGATATTCAATTTATCTCCTTTAAGTGATTGTCTAGTCGGGTCTAAGAAGAGTTGGAAATAATGCTCACCCTTTTTAGGAAAATTTATTATCATATTTTTAATAAAAACATAACCTAAAATACAAATAAAACATACGGAGAAGATTTTTTTTGAAAACATGTTTTTTTACTTGGGGGATATAACAGCTCTAAGCCTTGTAACAAAAAAAATACTTCATTTTTAATTTGTAACAAAAAATACTCTATTTCAAAAAAATATAACAAAGGGGTTCCAATGTCGGAATTATGAGAATCTGGCCGGTGGGTACATATGTGGCACTCCACCTGACTTTCCAATGTGGAAAATGCTTGGTTCACAAACTCAAACTTCACAAACTTCACAAACTTACCATTTGTGAACTTCAATAAAGAAAATTAAATAGTCTAGAATAATTTTAAAATAAAAATTTAAACCATAAATATTAAGTTTGTGGAATTTGTGATCATTCTGTCTGTGAACGTAGCATTGCTCTTCCAATGTATATGTGACATTTCATATGATTTCCAAATTAACTTGTATTTCATCATATATATTTGGTTAACTTTGTACTTGATATGTATAAAGACAAATTCAAAAAAAAAAATTAATGTTATATTTTATTTATAAAATAAATCTTTTTCATCTAAAGATTTTAGGTTTCATATTTTAATTTTTTTATATTTTCATTTGAAAAAATATAAATGTTATGTGTATAATTTTATAATTTTATAAAATATTTAAAATTTGATTTTATATTTCTCAAATACAAAATTAAATCAAGTATTTTGTATAAGTTTAATTACAAGTTATTTAAAAAAAATTATATAGAATGACACATGTACATTAATAAGTTACGTGGAATGCCACATGTAGATTCATTGCTTGGATTCTTAAAATCTCGTCAAGGGGTTTCATTTGTTACATTTTTTAAAGATTGGTTTCATTTTGTTACAAATTGAAAGAAATACTTTTTTTGTTACAAGGCTCAAAGTGGAGTACCTTCCAAATAAAAGAACCATTATTATAATAATGTGACAATATATATAGAACTATAAATTCATTTTCAATATTTTTTGGATATTACAGAGTATATGTTACCAGTATTGAAATTATATATCTTATTTTGGGATGAAAATATGAATATTATATCTTAATTTTTTCTCTTCATTTTATTTATATTGTATTCTTTTTCCATTATTAAATGAAGTAAGAAGCTCTATTATTATCTATTTATTATTAAAAAACAATGGAAAATGTTTATCAAATAAAGCAAATACTCCTCGATTTGAAGATCCACCATCAATATTAACTCTCTTAGAGCATCTCCAACGGGAGATGTGAGCTAAAAGCTAAAGTAACCAATCTACAGTATTTTAACAATCTAAATTTAAGTATTTGTTCCAACCATAGAAGCTAAATTTGTACGTATTAACTATTTTTTATTATTTAGTTACAATCCCTAGGTTCATCTATGGCTGAAGCATGCCCAGTCTTTTTAGATGATGTCACAGTATCATTTATATATAGATGATGCTCAATCAAATATAGCATGGAGTCTATTTTATAGATCTTCCATTGGAGATGCATTTTATGAATAGTAGAAGCTATATCTTTTATATTATAGCATTTGAATGTTGGGTTGGAGATGCCTTTAGAACGTCATTTTTATATGCTCTAACATAAAAAGGTTTCATGTTAATATTTATACAATTAAACCATATCTTTTTTATTCATATTGTTATTAATCTTTTTGACAAAATAAAATAATCATCCAAGCTCTTATTTTATATCTGATTAAACCTTTTGATGCAACTTTAAAATTATATTTCCTCACTTCACCAGAGATCTTTTCAAATTGACTTTTTATAAGTTTAAGGAGAGTTCAAAAAATGTCGGTAGAAGTTTACTAAAACATCATTAATAAAAGTGGGTGAGGTATATTAAATAAACTGTGTGAGGTGTAATAAATAAATTGAATGAGAATAATTGTAGCATTTACATATTTTTAAATAGACCTGGCAAATCGGTCGGTCAGGTCGGGTTCGGGGTCGGTCATCTTGGGTTCGGGTTACTTCGGGTTCGGATAAGTTCGGGTTCGGGTTGATAACTACATGTTCATGACCCAGGGTCATCGGGTTCGGGTTGACCCAACGGGCTATGAGTTTCATTTATTTTTTTGAAATTTTAAGTAATTTTTAGGACTTAGTGTCAATATAACGAATAAAAAAATTATATATGTAGAAATTTTGAAAAAATGTACGATAATTATGCGACATCATTAAAAATTTTTATGATGATATAAATCTATACACAAAAAATGAGTAGTAAGCAAAGGAATATAATTATAATCTTATTTTTATAACACTATATTTCATATTAAAATGTATGATTATGAAAAAATCTTAGATTAGCGGGTCGGTCAGGTCGGGTTCGGGTTCGGTCGGGTTTGACCCATTTTTAGCGGGTCATTTCGTGTTCGGTCAACTTCGGGTTCGGTCAGCAAAACCTTTGTTCAAAACCCCAGTATTTTCGGGTCGGGTTTCGGGTCAAAAACAGGTCGGGTCGTTTTTTGCCAGGTATATTTTTAAATAAAAAAGTAACAGAGATATATTTCTCAAACAAATTAAATAATAACCTTTTGGAAGATTTTTATGGGACGAAGGGAGTATTTGCCCTCCATCTTCATATTCCTTTCATCTCAAAGATAATGTGATAGCACACTATTTAAAATTTTTGAATTTCTTGTTTATTTTCATGTTTCAATGAAATATTTGATAAAATAAAATATTTATATCATCTCTTGTTATAAAGAAATTTGACATAATTTTTAAATACGTAGATTTTATTTTTGTTTCTATATCAATCTTTAAACAAGGTGAATTGAAAAAAACTTGAAATTTTACTTCATTTTGTATGATGTAAATTTTTTCAAAATGGACAGAGTAAATTTTAATCATTTTCGCACAATTAAAAGAATACAAAATATTTAAAAACACCGATAAGTTGCGAATTATATAGTATAACCGATTGTACCTATCTATGATATAACCGGCTATGATTCGAAGGAGGCACGGATCGCGAGGAGCAGAGACCAACGAAGGTCGTGAGGAACATTGAACCCAAGTTCGACGAAGGTGATGGTGGCGGCTTTATAAATCTGGAAAGTCGTTGATATCGAAATCTTAGATCAGCAGTTCAGCGATTCAGACAAGAGGATGAAGAATGATTGTAGATTGATGTTGATTTCAGACTCGTAGCAAAAGTAGAATGAGTGATATGTTAGTGTAGAATAAATACTATTTTATTTAACAATGAGTACCACTTTGTTTCATAATGAATATTACGTCATTCGTAAATTAATATTATAATTGTATCGAATAAATATGTGAAAATAAGTACTACATTGTTTCAGAATAAATATTATGTTATTTCAGATTAAGTACTACATTATTTCAAAATAAATATTTTATATTTATACGAGAATACATACTAATTTACTTTTTTTGATAAGTGAATTCCGAAAGTACTAAACATTTTTGGATTAAGCTATTTGTACACTAAAATTTATCTCATTTTGTAACCTAAAGACATGCACTGACATTTTATATTAGGGTGATGATTTACATTGACCAAAAGTGTCAGTGCAAATTTATTTTAATTAAACTAACATTTTTTGTGCAGGTTAAAACATTATATCGGTGCATTTCTTTAATTTACAAATTTGTCAATAAAAGTGTACCTCATCGGCCACTCATCGTCTGTGAATCCTCGATTGATTCCAATGTCCAGAAATTGAGATATCGGCCATGTTCTCTCAGTTCGGAGCGACGGCGGACTCCCTGAGTAAAGCCTCAACACTGGCGTTCCGGATCGGCACGGATGCTCACCTCTACGACGATCCCGACGACGTCAATATTGCCACGCTCCTCGACAGCAAGTTCGACTCCGAGAAATGCGAAGCTCTCAAGCGTTTGCTTGCGCTCATCGCCCAAGGTTTCGAGGTCTCCAATTTCTTCCCCCAGGTGCTGATCACTTATCATCTTCTCCCATTATCTCTTAAAATCCGGCCAGAAATTGTTTTATACTCCGTAATTTGATTGTTGTGGTTTGGTCTCAATAATTTGCTCGAGCATCTTTACTACACAAGTTATGCGAGGGTTGAACTTATTGCTTCTTCATTTTCTACTTAGCATCTCTTGATTTTTATGTGGTTGGTGAATTTTTAGGTGGTGAAAAATGTGGCATCGAAATCACTGGAAGTCAAGAAGCTGGCTTACTTGTATCTACTGCATTATGCTGAGAAGTACGAACTTGCACTTTTCCAAACCATCTAAGTGCTTCTAAGTACTTCTAAGTACTATAGACTTGTCAACACGTACTCTGTTTCTTCTTGAATGCATACCATATGAAGAAATGTTCTTTCTTTTGTTTGAGTTTCTCTGTTGAAACAGTTAATGATTTAGTTTAATGATGTAGGCGTCCAAATGAGGCATTGCTATCAATAAATTGTTTCCAGAAGGATTTGGGGGATCCAAACCCATTGGTCAGGGCTTGGGCACTTCGTACCATGGCAGGGATCCGTCTACATGTGATTGCAGCAATTGTTTTGGTGGCAATAAGGAAGTGTGCCAGAGATCCATCTGTATATGTTAGAAAATGTGCTGCAAATGCCCTCCCAAAGTTGCATGATTTGCGGTTAGAAGGAAATAACGACGCAATTGAAGAGGTGGGTTTCTATATTATACTGTAAGAGTTATCATCTTATAGTACATTACCTTTTTGTATGCGTGGGTTCTTCAGAATTGGCAAAGACAGGGAACATGCATAGAGTAACTCTGTTAGTGGTCTGCTTAGTCATAATTTGTCAGCTCTAGTACACAAATCATCATCATCCATGAATCACTCTGTTGAGATTGGCTGACTCGTAAGAAATTGTTGTTGACAGCCTTGTAGGGAATTTTTAGAAGTGGATATCACAAAAGCCTGAAAGATATGTCCGGCCTTGAATGATTGTGTATTTGATGTGATTAGATCTCCTGTTGCATTTACCACACTCATAATAATTATAAGGTTGAAACCCTAGAAAAGTCTGTCTTTTGTCAAGTTGTTTGATTCACCTAATCACATTCCTGAAATTGGGGAAGACCTTAAAATTTGCTTTCATGATATTAAAATTTACTCATATATATTCATTCTTGAAATCCTGGAGAAAGGACCATCTAGTATTCTCATTTGGTCTTCACTTTACTTTTATAATCTAGAGGGATCTACATAAATCCATGGATTTATAATTTATTTATGCCTTGAAAATTTGTTTGAACTTCAACTTTGAAATATTATATATTGCATTGTAACTATTCCACTCTTAAGTAAATGTGATTGAAGAACAACCATTTTATACATAAAGTGTTTTTCATGCATTGTAATCGTCTGTCTAAAAACTAGGGATGACAATTCATCCTAAACCCGATCGTAACCAAAAACTAAAATATCCGAACCCGAATCGGAGAATTTAAAAATCCAAACCCTACCCGGAGAAATCAAACCTGATCCTGACCCGAACCCAAATATTTAAAACTAAGAATCCTACCTATGCCTCTACAGAGTATCACGTATAATATAATATATTATCCCATTTCTCCGGTGTGCGTACACACACCCTCCCCAGACCCTACTGTTGTGGGATTCACCTGGGTTGTTGTTGTTGTTGTTGTTGTTTCTCCGGTCGCCGATCTTGTTAATCATGATCTTTTGTATTTATTCATTCCACTACAGAGTACTGTGTATAATAAAATATATTTTCCTATTCTTGTATATGCAAATGTAGCAATTTAATGTGTCAAAATTCTGGTCGGGTTCTAGTAGGAGTTTAAAAGCTTGATTTAGAATTGGTTATTGGTTACATTGCGGGTTCGGGTTTAAATATTGGGTTCGGGTCAGTTCAGGTTTCAGGTTTAAAAGTTGGATTCGG